TCCATGTAGAATGACAAAAGCTTTAAAGGAATTTTAGAAACAGAAGAACGGAGAGAAGCACACATTTTTGGTAGCAGCATTTTCTCAGGCGGGCTCTGTTTTGTTAGCAGCAAGCAGAGACTCGCGGCTGGCTTAAGTTAGTCTTCCTGACTCGGCATTAAAAGAAAAAAAAAAAAGCCAACAAGGTTCTTTTAAGAGGCTTTGCTAACGATTTAAAAGTTGTACGTACAGCTGGAAGTGGCAGTGACCAAATCTCCAAGCCGGCAACTGGAGTCACGCTTATGCCCGCCATCTTGAAAAAAAACGTCAGTTTTAAACAGCCGTGGTTTTACAGATAAGACACGTGGCCAGAAAAAAGTAAAGATTTACAGTAAAATCAGACTTGGATGAAGAAAAACCTCTAAAGGTTTACAGTGTGTTTAAAAATATACGTGAGATTGAAAGAGAAAATGAAACGACAAAGTGGTAAATAAATAGAAAAGCCGGCGTTGTTGTGGCTCACGCTGGAAGGATTTACTCCAGAGGCAGAGGCAGGCGGATTTCCAAAGAGAAACCCTGTCTCAGAGAAAAATAAATCAAAGTAAAAGAAATAGAATAATAATAATTGAATAAATAAGCCACGTAAAGATGGAAAATACACAGAGAGTCTGGATACTGTACGCTATTATGCTTTTCAGTTTTTTGATTGCTCAGGAAGGAACAGCTGCTAAAGTACACTTGATTATAAATGCTGTTGAATTAATTCAACTTCTATCTTTTGAAAATGCCTTGACTTCAAAATTTAAGTATAAGGATATGTTACTTGGGAAAGGAGTTTTCATTTATGTTTCTACAGAAAATGAAAAGCTGAGGATTCCTTCCAGGCTTCTGTGGTTTGATGAACCAAGACCCTCGGAAGCAGTGGGCTGGGTGTTCCAACAATTGAGACAGCTAAGATGATGGAGCTTCACAGACCCTGAAAATAAGGACTTATACAGGTTTCTGAGTTTTGTCATGATCCCCATGGTATGAACAGCGCCCCCTTCCAGCACGAAGCAGTTTGGAATGAGCAATGTCCTAATTCCCATCTTGTTTATAAACCTTTGTTTTCATTTAAATGGGATTGTTTATAATTGGTTAATGATCACAACCAATCTCTTTTTAAAGGAAAAAGGGGATTATGGTATGGAAATGAATACTTTGTATTGGTATGGTTTTTCATTTATTGATACAAATTCAAGGTCAATTTTGTGATATGTATATTTTTCCTCTTGATTAAGTATTGTGCTTATACTGATCTTTTAAAACATAATTCATGCCAGGCGGTGGTGGCGCACGCCTTTAATCCCAGCACTCAGGAGGCAGAGGCAGACAGATCTCTGTGAGTTCAAGGCCAGGCTAGACCGACAGCCTCCAAAACAATACAGAGAAACCCTGTCTCATAAAACCAAAAAAAACATAATTCATAATTAAATGCAGATTATAGATAGTTACTTATAATAGTCAGAACTTATAGTTAGGTAAGTTAAGTCTTCTAGATATACAGAAATATATTTGAGATAGATAGACAGTCTTCAAACCTCTCAAAGACCTTCAGAAAATGGCATTTAAAATGGTTTAGGGTTTTTCTTGACAATGAGAAATGTCTGCTCCTGGCAGCACCAATTATGTCTGAGAGGAAGATGAACATCGAAGAAACTCGTTATGGAGTTTGCTTTCAACATGGCAAGGTTAGCCATTTGGGCAAGAAACTGCTTTTGCCTGGACTGCTTGACTGTTGCTGTATAATCTGGATATGCAGGACCCACAGGAAAGTGACTGCTGAACTCAAATAGTCCTTCAGGGTTCCTGCTTCATGAAAGAGTCTACGATACTTTCTGCAGGACACAGAAAAATGACTGACAGACTGCTGATGCAGATGGACAGTTTGAAATTTCCTGCTTTGCTGAGAAGTGTTCCAGACACACTGTGGCCTATGGGCTGAAGATGGATGCCCCTATGTGACAGAGGAACTTCGGGTGACTGTCCAGGCAGTAAGATGTCTCTGTCAATCCTAGTGTTTATATATTATCCTTCTGTGGTCTTTGATAGAGTTGAAGACAGATAGTTATAATTATAGTTTTCCTTAGTTATGATAAGAGATAAGCTACATATAGGACTTTGGACTCACAAGAATGAGATAGATGATATTTTCTTTAAATCTTGCTGAATGTTGATAGACAAAATATTGTAACTGTGTTCTTACTTGATAATTGTTTTGTTATATACAATTTGACTATGTTAAAGTTAAGACCTTTCTTTTTGTTTAGACAGAAAAGAGAAGATGTTGGGGAAGTCCTGTGTATTTGTCAATAAAGCACTGTTGGCCAATAGGGAACCAAGATAGGTGGGACTAGGAATCCAGGAGGACTCTGGGAAGGAGAAACACAGGAAGTCGAGATGTAACGCCATGGGGTAGAAAGCCCGGAAACTTCTCTGGTAAGAGAAATACTTAGATTAACAATTATGGGGTAATTACTTAAGTCAGAGCTAGCCAGTAAGAAACAAGCAAGGCCAACAGCTTAATAATTAATATAGCCTCCTGTGTGTTTATTTGGGACTGATGCGGCTCTAGAACCAGGCTGGTGGGAAGGCTTCTCTCAAGGAAAAAGCTTCTCTTTACACTTCCTGAAGCTTCCAAGACCAGAGCTGGGCCCCCATGGATCCTTGCACAGGTTATAAACTGTGAGGTCCACGGTATCATAATGAGATTGACATCAGAGATACCCATGTGTATCATGTGTTTTCAGCAGGTGCCAGTGAAATGTCTTGGGCTTATGTGTTTAATTTGGGTTTTGTTTAATTGTTTGCTTGTTTGCTCGGAGTCAGGGTCTCATGTAACCTATGCCACCCTCCAATTCCTATATAAGGAGCCAAGGATGACTTTGACTGTAGTTTTCTTCTTCCGTCTTGCAAATGTTAGGATCACAGGCATATGCCACCATAGCCAGCCTAAAGGGTCTGCTCCCTCTTCAGTGTTCACTAGTATTCAGTGGGAACAGTAGGTAGCAGAGCCTGCAGGGCCCGGACTTTTCTGCAAGCTGCCTCCCAACACACTAATGGCATGACTCCTCCCTGGTGCCCACATGAACTAAACACACCAAGCCCTTTTCCAGGGCCTTAGCCTAAGCCAGACTTCGTGGAACTGTTCTGCTTTCACCTGGTCTGGAATATGACTGACCCTTGCCTGGAAACCTGTATCTGTGAGTTGTCTCTCTCCAGATTATTTCTTCAACCCGTGTCTTACACTGGCTCTTGCCAGGATTCCCCATTCCTCCTCTTTAATTTCTTATAAAGCTTGAAATGCTAGAAATGATAGGAAAATTATTTAATTTCCCCACTCCCCTGCTCACTTTCATTCTTCCTAGGTACATGTAGAATAAGGAAAACAGTACCAGGATCCGAGTTAACACACTGCCTACACCAGGGAATCCCCTTCTGGATCATTATTTTCATTTAGTCTCTCCATGGTCTTTAAAACAAAATAAATGAATTCAGAAAAGTTTCCTGTTTTTTTTTCTTCAGAGCTTCATGTAGTCCAGACTGGCTTCACACTCACTATAAACCTGAAGCTGGTGACATAGGAGAGAGATTTATATCAAATGATAAAGCATAGAAATATGTTAAAGAGGAAGACTATGAGCTGGATGTTCAGAAAATTCTTCCATGCCCCGTGTCCTCCAACCTGAATCTCTTTAAGAGGAATTCAAGGGAAAAAAAATCAGGGAAAGGTGTTTAAGAGCAGGATGTGTCTGGGAACGTGACTCTAGGACCAGCCACATCTTAAGAGAGGAGACAGAAGATCTAGAAATATTGGTGACATTCTTTTTTGATGATCTGTTTTTCCTATGCCTTTGTTGGTCAGTCTTTCTGAAATGCAGTTACATAAGAACTTGTTTCCGTGGGCTTGAGTCTGACAAGAAAGAAGGCCATGGCTAAGTAATCTCAGGGAAGCTTGAAGCCAGCCCCCTTTCAAAGACCTCTGTTCTCTGCATAGAAAAGAGAGTCCAAAGGTCTAGCTGAAGAACTCTACTATATTACCATCCCTGTAGGGAAAGTTGGGAAAGATAATAGACATATTAGTGGGAATTAAATGTCCTTAAAACAAAGGCTACTATCTGGATATTCTAAATCTAGGGTTTTTTTTTTAATGTAGGAATAATGCTCCCCCTCCAGTGCTATGGCTCCAAAATGGTTACCTCAAATTAAAGATGTCGCATCAGTTGGGGTAAAAATGAGTTTGAGAGGTTTCCAAGCAATTAAGGTACTAAGGAATATCAAATGGGGCCAAACTTTTGTAAATGGAGACAAGTTTAATTTCCTCCCACTGAAAGAAATTTATATTAGGTTATCTATGATTCTCTTATAATAGTCATACATGCCACCATGAGGTTTGCTCTATTTCTTTCAGTAACAACTAGCAGCAGTGTTAATTAGTTCTGAGTCACCGAAGGTGGCAGGTTCTAATAAATCTTGCTGTGTTGATACTGTTTAATGAGACACTGTCCTTCCCATTATTAATCGAGAATTTGCTGTGATGAAAAAGATTTGTGAAGTTTCGGGGGAACGATTCCAGGTCCATCTTTAGATGCCAGTGTTTGTGTGTCACCTAAATGCTTATGTGTGGGAGGTGAAGGGAGGGAGAAGGAAGGACAATGACCTTAAGGTTAGGGACAGCATTTAAGTTCATTTAAATCAATGGCCCCTGTTTATTTTCCTTTGGGCCTGTGGGCTCTATCGGATCTCATCACCTCCACACCTGCATCTGCTGGGTTTGTTGACTTTCCACCCGTGAATGCATTTGATAAACAGAGCTCACAGAGAATGGCAACAAAGAGGAGGCCCTGGAGGAAGCCAGTAACAAGAAATCCAAACTTCACGTGGAAAAGAAATTATTTATTAAAAAGAAATCCACGATCCTAATTCAAGATAGAATTTTATATTAACTCCACAATGGAAAGTAAATACACTGGAGAGAGGGCTTTGCCACAGCTTAAAAAAGTCTGTTGGTTTAAATTGTAAAAATCGAGCAGGCCTCTGATTCACTCACCTGAGGAAGGAGCTGGGATCTGCCACCCATTTCTCATCTCTTCCCTTTGTGGGCTTTCATTCATGCCTGCAGGATTAGGTCTTCAATGGTTACTCTGAATGGTTATTTAGATTAATGTAACACCTTTCATGTCCCGAGGCTAAAGAGGCTTCTGTGTGTTTGTTCTTATAGTAATGTTGGAAAGCCCTTTTGAGGAAGAAATTCATGTCAAGGCAGCAAGAAGCTATTTCTTTATGTCAATCAATACCAAAAGGTAAAAAAGAAAGCAAACCCTCCCAGACCTTCTGCTAGCAGAGACTGCACACTTTGGAATTCGTTTTGCTTTGCTCCTCGCTCATCCCTCTCATTAAAATATCTGAGGGGAGAAACTTTTTAGAGGAGGATTTATTTTGGCTCACATTTGTATAGTTTGCAGTTGAGTCTGAGGTGACCAAGCACACCAGGTCAGAGAGACTGGGGATCTGAGAAAAAACATCGACAGCATCTCCGGCCAGCTCTCTGGAAGCTCTCCCCTCTTCTCCCCCAAACATGTACATCATTGTTGAGAGGTTTGCTAGGGAAGGGGCAAACCTCTCAACTTCCCTAGCAAACCTCTCAACTTCATGGAGGTGGGTCACACCTTTAAACATATTCCATCATGTTAAACATACCTCTTCGTCTCATTTTCAACAGATTAAATTGTGGGTAAGACAGATCAGAAAAGGAACCACCACACACCACTCTCCATGGGGAGCAGAAGGAGCTCACCAAGGCGTGCCTCACTCCTGTGCTGCTGTCCTTAAGTTCAGCCCTACATAAGAAGGTGTGCTTTACTTCCCATTAATTGCTTGCTGAAACAAACATATCACTCTGTTGCTTTGCCTGTGCTCTGTGTGAATTCTTCTCTGCTGAGAATCTGAGAACCCCTTAGGCTCCAAAGAACAGAATGGTCTGGACCCTGCTGGGATGGGAGGGAATGCAGGAGGGGACTTATCTCCTCATCCATAATAATGAGAAACTTATGTATTCATGGAAGAGTAAAAGGCCAGTAAGAAGAGGCACATAGATAAAAATAATTGAATAAAATGGAAGTTTCTGTCCCGCGTGGTCCTGCACTTGTTCAGTCACAAATAAACACCCAGAGGCTTATATTAATTATAAGTTGTTTGGCCTGTTGCTCAGGCTTATTAGTAATAAACTCTTACAACTTAAATTAATCCATAATTCTTATCTATATTTAGCCACATGGTTCGGTACCTTTTCTCAGTAAGGCATTCTTATCTTGCTTCCTCTGTGTCTGGCTGCTGACTTCCTTTCCTCTTCCCAGAATTCTCCTAGTCTGCTAGCCCCACCTATTCTTCCAGTTTGGCTACTGGACAATCAGCGTTTTATTTATTTATTTATTTTTGATTTTTATGGGACAAGGTTTCTCTGTATTGTTTTGGAGGCTATCGGTCCAGCCCGGCCTCAAACTCACAGAGATCCGCCTGCCTCTGCCTCCCGAGTGCTGGGATTAAAGGTGTGCACCACCACTGCCCGGCACAATCATCATTTTATTAAACCAATACAAGTGACAAATCTTTACAGTGTACAAGGGCAATATCCCACAGCAAAAATGTGTTTACAAAGCATGCACATTTTTAAAGATTTACTTTGCTTTATGTCTGTAAGCATTTGGTTCTCTGTATGTGCACCCATGCCCTTGGACACCAAAAGATGGTATGGATCCCCTGAAACTAGGGTTACCACAAAAAGTCTTATGAAGGAAAACATTTAATCAGGGTGGCTTACAGTTCAGAGGTTTAGTTCATTATCATCATGGCAGGATATGGCAGTGTGAAGCCAGACAGAGTACTGGAGAGGTAGCTGAGAGTTTTACATTTTGAGCCCTACAGGGACAACAGGAAGTGGTCTGAGGCACTGGCAGGCATGGCTTAAGAATGTATGAGAGCTCAAAGCCCACCCCACAGTGACATACTTCCTCCAACAAGGCCATACCTACTCCAGAGAAGTCACATCTCCCAATACTGTCTTCCCCTATGAGCTTATGAGGTTCAATTACATTATAACCATTACAGACCTCCCCTGCACGACAGCATGCATGTGACCACACTCAACCACACAGACGCTGATTGTCCAGTGACTGTCTCCACCACCCCACTGCCAGAAGAACCAAAAATAGTATGTGGGAAAGGCATCATGACAAGGACTTCTGAGACAGACCAGCATGACCAACACTGAACTGCAAGGGAAGCTGTGGTATGCACGGTGTCCACCCAGGACTGAATGCCCCTGAAGCTTGTCTTCTATGGACTCATGGAGTTTGTGCTACTTGATGGTTTCAAATATTACCTACCAGAGAGCTGAGAATGTAGTTCAGTGACAAAGCAATTGTGTAGGCTCCCAAAGCCCTGGGTTTGGTCCCCAGCACTGGAGGAAAAATACTCATTATATTTCAGAATGAGCTGTCTTTGATTGCCAAGGAATGTGTGACAGAAAAATAAACTACATGTACACACACGTGGCATTTCCTAAAAAAATTGTTTCCATAGAACTGTGTTCATTTTTGACATATAAAAATGATGACATGTCACCATTAAGGATAATTGAGAAGAATGAAAAGCAGAAAAATAATAATATAATGACTTACTGAGCATGCTTATTTAACTACTGTATAAATTTAACCCTCATGCAATAAGAAGGCATTTGGCAAATCAGATTAAGAACACAGTCTGAGTAATATCAGAGACTTAGAACTAACTACATGTATATTCTCAGGAAGATATTTAAATTACAATTATACACAAATATGCAGAACTGTACACAAAGACCCTAAAACACTAGTTATGTGGTAAGACTCTTACTGATGTGGTTTTGCTCTTTCATATTTTCTCTTTTTACCTATAATATATTAATGCTCTTGCAGTAAGGTAAGAAGTTAGTGTGAAAACATCTGAAAATATTTTAGTGCTCTGCTCTTCATAGCAGATAATAGTAAACAATATAATTTCAAAGCCGCAGGGAGCTGGTTTTAAAGCACTCCTCTGCTTCCTCCACGAAGGCTAGTATGTCCCATGACACATGGGTTTAATATGTCTTGTGATGCTGGGGTCCACTTAATGGTCTGTTGGGGTCTATCAGTTGCTGTAACCTTGGGTTTATCAGCAGCCTTCCTTTTCAAGAGCCCATTAATCTCTTTCAGAAACACTGTTTCTTAGGAGATGTGTGCATATGCGACACAGCCTCTCTATTGAGAGACCTGAAGAGCCATCACAGCAAAAGGAAAGCAGGTTAATGCTACATCATGAATCAAGTCCCCTAACCCCAGGCACACACAGGAGAATGAAGGAAAACAACATTTCCTGGACCAGAGACATGGTCCAGCTGGTAAAAGCAATTAATACCTCTAGAGGATACAGGTCTCATGACCTAAATTCCATCCGTTAAACCCATGTAAAGGAGGATGGAAAATACTGACTCCAATATGACTCCCCTCGTGTGTGTGTGTGTGTGTGTGTGTGTGTGTGTGTCTGTCTGTCTGTCTGTCTGTCTGTCTGTCTGTGTCTCTGTGTGTGTCTCTCTCCCTCCCTCTCTCAATCCCTCTCTCTCTCTCTCTCCCTCCCTCCCTCCCTCCCTCTCTCTCTCTCTCTCTCTCTCTCTCTCTCTCTCTCTCCCTCTCTCTCTCTTGCTCTCACACACACACACAAATTTAAAATTTAAGTGCTTCCTTAGACTTGCAAATAAGCCACCTCCAGGTTTGAGCTGTGAAGAACCAGGGACTATTCTCCTGTTCCTGAGTAATTAAACAGGGTTGGCTGGATTCTAGTGGTTATTCACATCAATAACACCTGAACCAATGACCCCTCTGCACTTCAGGTTTCCTAGTTACAAAATGGAGATTCTCCTCTGTCTGGGAGAGTCTATAGTGTACAGTTCAAGAATGTTCAGTTACTGTTAATACAATGCCCACTGTGTGCAATGCATTGTGCTGTTTGCTTTGGGAAGTTCAAGGCTGAGGACTATGTGAGCTCTCTACCTGGGGAAGATTCTAAGCTGACAGGAGATGCCATGGACAGATAACATACAGACAACTGAGGCAAAATGAAAGCTGCTTCTGAGGAAAATCCACCCAAGGCCCTAGATTTAACTTTCTTTCTCTATTAAACTCTTGGGTCATGTAGCTCTTTTAAATATGAACAAATTTTTATATGGAATTCTTTTACTTTAATTTATTCATTTTTTATTTTTTTACATTCCAATCCATGTTCCCCCTCTCTCCTCTCCTCCCATTTTCCCCTCCTTCCCCCATCCCACTCCATCTGCTCCACAGAGAAGGTAAAGTCTCCTCTAGAGCATCAACTAAGTCTGTCCCATCATCTTGTTGAGACAGGACCAAGGTGTTCCCCACCCCCCATCTGGGCTGAGTAAGTTGTCTCTCCATAGGGAATGGGCTCTACAAAGTCAGTTTATTCATTATAATTAGATCTTGGTCCCACTGCCAATGGCTTCATAAGTCACACCATTGTCACCTATATCCAGGGGTTCTAGTTCAATACTGTTGACAGTGCAGTGTGCAGTCAGTGAGCTCTCACTAGCACGGGTCAGCTGATTCTGTGGGTTTCCCCATCATGGTCTTGACTCCTTTGTTCACATCATCGCTCTACCCTCACTTCAATTGTACTCCAGGAGGAATGAACAGATATTTTAATTCCACACTCATTATAAACCAATAAAAATAAGACTCCTATAAATACTAAAGAGACTTATGTTGACATAATAGAATAAGACTTCAATAATTTAGACTAAGGAAGATTAACAGCTGAAAACAAGAGGCGTTAATTACCGGAGGTTAGGCATTAAGTGATTTTAATTCACTCAAGTTTTACTATCCAGTGTTTCCAGGGCTGATATGCAGGAGTCCTTACAGCAAGCTTTTTAGGGAAGGCATGTGAGCACCCTGTGACCTTTTTAGTCCCCACACTGGGGAACATACTCATGGGTTAAGTCCTAAGGAGAGTGTGATTTCAGATAACGTGGCAAGCAGTAATAGGTAGATTACTAATGGACTCGGATCTGTTCAAAGAACATCATTCCCAATCGTCTCTCCATTTCCCTCAATAGCAGTCTATCCATTTGAACTTTGTGTGCAGGAGTGGCATTTGATAACATAGTAAGTTTAGCTCCATTTACGACTCTGTCTGTCTTCCTTGACTGTGATGCTTCAACTTTGTGTTCCTGATGGGAGGAATACTGAAGACAGAATGAAGTCAAGTCCCACCAACCCTGAGGTGCATTTCTAGAACAGAGAGGCCTTAGCAGGTGATCGGCAAATGTCTCCCGGATCTTAATTTAAGGTGTGTGGTCGAAGTGTCTTCACCCAGTTGTCTAACCCTGCTCAACAGCAGAAGTGAAATTGCAACTTTGTGACGAGATAATACAGTAAGACCTTATCTCACATGTTAAACCATAAGAAATTGCTTTCATAATCCCCAAACCCCATATTAGTAATTTTATGTAGTTTCATATGATTGGATCTATTTTTGAAGTGTTTTATTGATAATGCCATTTTACAGAGCTGTTAATAGGAGTCTATGGAAAAGGAATTAGGAAGAATTATATTATTACAGGAAAAGGAGTTAGAAAAAGGCAGAGGATAATGCAGATATGAGTAGGCATTGGCTAAGGAAAGAGTGCACAAACTAATCTTCTCTACAGTTTCTTTAGTGCCAGCTTAAAAAGGGTAAAAGAAGAAAGAGATGTGATATCAGAAATAGCAAGAAAGGGCATGGTAACACCGAGATTAACACCTGAGGTTGTCTTCGGGCCTCCACACATACACATATACACATGTATAGAAACAGAAAGGGGAAAAAAGAGGACCTTCTGAGAGTCCTAAAACGAAGATTTCCAATTTCCCAACCTAGTCCTTCCCTCTGGTATATGTCTTTGTTCACTTTTTGTTGATGGGTGATACTCTGCTTTATTCAAAGACTGAAATTTATCTTCTTTCTGCTCTGGTAAAAGGCCTCTGAACCTTGGGTGCTCAGTGAACATCACTTTTTAACCAAATACTTAATAACTGCTATGAAAGTTCATTAAAGTTTTGAAAGAGAGGAAACTTTGACTCCCCCAGTACTCTGAGTCAATGACAGTGTCAGAAATAGATGAGACGCTGCTGACTCATTGTCGTGGTCTGCTAACTCAAGAGACCTTTCCTTTAAACCTCTGTGTGGAATTAAATGTTCAGTTCTTCAATCATGACTTTTTTGCTGACGGTCAAGGACACTAGCTCCTTCCTTTGTTAAGCAGGAGAATCTTTAGAGGGGGGAAAACATCAGAGAAACTCTATAACCCTGAGAATAGAGCAGGAAAACCTAGGATAGCAGACTTTTATTGGCTAATGATAAGGAAAGCTGCCCAGCAGCTTTGACACTGAGGATGGACAGCTCATATAAGTGATACATCAAATACAAAAGTTACTTCCCCAAATCCCTGGAAATATCATGTTTCCTTTTGATGACTTACTGCCTTCTCTTCCCTGGCGGCTGATTTATCCCCACCTTCAAATGAATTCGGTTTCCCCTCAGGGCCTTCATGAAATGATCACATTGTTTCAAGATGGCAGCATGATCTCAAAGCCAAGGGCCGGGAGAGCATCTGTCAGAACTCCACACAAGTCCCACAGTCCACTAGGTTGGGGTGTGAACTCTTGTAGGAGAAACTGCTAGCCAGTTTACCCAAGCCGCAGGTGCCCAGGCCAGGCTGCATGAGCGTGCATGGCAGAAGGCAGACAGGTACTTTCTCCCTGAGCCAAGCCTGCCTCTATGCGCGAGACTGCTGACCCAGAGAAGCCAATGAGGAAAAGGAAAACGCAGCAAGAGTCAGCCACCTGAGCCAATGGGACCTCGGGAGGAGGTATTAAGGCAGGGCTAACTTCCTTAATGCTCTGCTACTCACTGACTCCCAGAACCTGAGTCCTTGGTGCTGCCTCTTCTCACCCCCTCCCGCAAGGCGTGTCTGGGCAGGGTCACCCAGCTGCAGAGACAGAAAGGCACCTCAGCTTTGGTAACACAGGCTTTTCAGACGGAAGAGGGAGGAGCCTGGAGTTCAATCCTGGTGGATTAACCCATTGTTGGTAGGTTAACTCAGGAGGGCTGAGACGCAGGTGAACAGTTTTGAGAAATTAAGGTTTTACTAGCAATCTTAATGTTGGCAATTTTGTCCAAATCGGAAGCAAAATGAAATTTAAAAATTTCCCAACAACAGTTGCTTTAGGAAAACACCTTCATCCTCTGGAGATATTTCTTTTTTTTTTTTTTTTTTTTTTTTTGAGATATTTCTGATAGCCAGATGTCGTCTTCTTCTTTGTTTTCTTTTTTCTTTTAATTTAAGTTAGCAACAAGGTTGTTTCACATGTCAATCCCAGCTCCCTCTCTCTCCCCTCCTCCCCATCCCTCCCCACCAGGTCCCTCAGTCCCCCACCCAGCCTCCAATCTGATCCCCAGGGAGGGTGAGGTAAGTTAGGTAGTGTGGCCCCAGGGGAAACCAAAATCCCAGCATGGAAAGGATGGCCATCTCAGCTGCTAAGGCTCTGTCCATACAGATGCAAGGAAGATTTAGCTCCATGCTGGACCTTCAGGGTTGTCCCCCACAGCCTATAAGTGATTAAATCTCTTAAATTATCTACCGAAATTGTGGCACAGGAGAGACATTTAAACAGGACATATGGAAAAAAAAACAACTGAAACAGAGTTGGCTTTTCCTCTTCTGCCCAAAAACTCCCAGAAAGCTATTTAACAGGACACCTTGAAGTGAGAGAGGGGGACAAGAAATGGCAAGAAATGGATACTATAGACTTCATTGCTCATAAAAGGTGGGAACAGCAGTATGAGC